TTGCAATAAAACCTGTCGATGCGGGACTTTACGATGCCCGCCTCGCATGTAAAGTGGTCTTGAGACCACTCTTCCATGCCAAACTTGATGCGAAGATGAATGTCAAAAAACTTTATTTCTGCTACATTGGTCTGGCCAGACCATTGTCCGGAATCTTTCTGCAAACGGTCTAACGCATTCTCAGTAAAGTTAAAATCGCCAAAAAGGACAGGACATGCCTTCGACAGGTCTGTACAATTGGCGGCAACCTTCTCCAGAGTGAGCGCCCTGGCAGAAGGCGAGTGAGCATCCAAATAAACAGTCCATACATCCAAATTGCCCTGCGGCCCCCGGAGACGCAGCACAGCGGCCCTCCCCCTTTCTGCAACGTGCCAGCGGCGCTGTTCGAACTTTGACAGAAAACTCGAATTCACAAACAGTGCGAGGCCGGCTTGTGATCGACTGAAATGGATCCAAAAAACTTCCGTGCCACAAGGCGGGACGAAGGCAATCTCCCGCCCAGGGGTGCCGTGCACCTCCTGCAGTCCAACAAAATCGACTGACTGGATCAGACGTTCGACAAACTGATGTCTCCTGCGCTGGTTTAGCAATTTGCTTGAAAAGAACGCTTGGGCATTCCATGACGCTCCAGAGAAAATCTGCACAGAAGGACGCCGCGACCAAGGACGCCGCGACCGTCACCAAAACATCGCCGCGCTCTCGGGTCACGCGCTAAACCACGCAATTCAGCAGATGAACGACGCACGCCGCGACGCTATGAATGCCCACTTGAACCGCTCCGACCCCACTCTAGACTACCAAAGACGCATTCAACCTACTGGGGGACCACTCCAGTCCGGACCACTTGGCACCGGTACGGCTGCTCCCCCAACCGTCGACCTGGGGGAAACGTCGCAGAGCAGCCTTCCGTCCTACCGTCGACGACGCCGTATGCCCTGCTTAGCCGGTGCGGGGGAGCACTACAGCGATGCCCTCATGAGCAACGCTAGCAACTGTTCTACAGGTAACGGAGAGACCCCCCCTGTCGACCCCAGGGCCACACCCCCCCTGGCCCAGGTCACAGGATGGTCTGCAGACCCCTGGACCACCGGATACTGCTCGAGTGGCGGCGGATGGACAGCGTGGTGATGCGCACGGCGGCAGCGGCAACGATGATCTAGTCGACATACAAGCTCCGAGACCCCCGTGGCTGCTGCCGCCGAGCGGAAGGAAGATGCGCCTGTTGAGGACGTGCGGCAGTGAGAATAGAAGACGAAAAAACGCCATAAACATGAACTTTTGGAGGTCCGCGCGGAATTCTTGGATCTGCGCTGGACCCCCCTCCCCGCGCCAGGGGCGGGTTTATGGCGTTTTCTTCAAAAGAAAGGAGACGATGGCGCGATCTGCTTGAGACTTAGATCGGTCGCGGACCAGCAAGCCTAGAAGGCCGCCCAACCCGCCCGGCCCCTGCCGCCGAAATTACCAGAAGCGATCCTGGTCCAAAGCGCCCCCGGCTTGTCGCGCCGCGCTGGGGCCCCTGGGGCCCTCTGGGGTGAGCCTGAAGACTTTCCCTGATCAATGAGAGCGCTTCAAAACAGCAGTGCGAATTGATGGTGTGAGAGGAAGTGCTTGGTATTGCTTTGTATTGCTTGGCAGTGCCTAGCATTGCTTAGCGTTACGTGGCTTTGCGTTGAATTGCTTCTTGGCATTCGTTGGCATGTGTTGGCATTGCTTGCATGCTTGACATTGCTTGGCATTGTTTGGCATTGCTTGGCAATTCTTCGGAAACCCCAAGACACCCGGAGGAACCCAAGCATGGAAACCGGGGCGAGGAACTCGAGGAAACTGGGCGAGAAAGCCCGAGGAACCCAAGCGAGAGACAAGACCACGGAACCCAACCCCAGGAACCCTGGAGAAGGCCTGTGACAATTGACCGCAGACCCACCGGCCTCTGCACAAAATTATAGCCGGAGCGCAGTATCCCCAAACAGGGTTTTTAGACCCACTGCGGTTTCCAAGGTCGATTGCGTGCCCGCCTAGTGCGGGCTGGCATGGCATGTTAAAACATGCCTCCTCCTCCTCCTCCTCGTCCACCTCCTCTTCATCCCGAAAGGCATCTCGGAACCCAGAGTTGCGAGGATGTCTCCAGCGTAACGGGCTGGACCACCTCGCGCGCGGCATTTCGGACCCCAGAGTTGCGACGATGTCTCGGGCGAAACGTGCTGCGAGGAAGTCTCAGGCGAAACGGGCCGGACCACCTCGAGCGCGGCGTCTCAGAGCTCCGAGTTGCGGGGGCCTCCTGGTGCCTCCTGGGGCCTCCTGGGGACCTCCTGGGGCTTCCTCCCGGGCCTCCTGTGGCCTCCTGAACTCCACCTGAGGTTTCCTGAAGCATCTTGGGGCTCCCAGGGGGGATATCTAACCTGTGGCCGTTTGGGCCTCTCCAAATGGAGGGGGGGGCACAGGAGCAGGAAAAATCAACGAATCGACACCGGATGTGTATTAACTTGACACGTTCTGATAGAGGGCCTCCTGGGGCCTCCTGGGAGCCTCCTGGGAATCTCCTGCGGACCCCTGGGGCCTGTCCTGGGCGTCCTGCGGCCTCCTGAAGCTCTCTGGGACCTCCCCCTCCTCCTGCCTGCTCCCTCATGCACATCATCCGCCTCCTCCTTCTCCCTTCCATCTCCTCCTCCTCCTCCTCCTCCTCCTCCTCCTCCTCCTCCTCCTCCTCCTCCACCTCCTCTTCATCGCGAACGGCATTTCGGAGCCTAGAGTTGCGAGGATGTCTCCAGCGTAACGGGCTGGACCACCTCGCGCGCGGCATCTCGGACCCCAGAGTTGCGACGATGTCTCGGGCGAAACGTGCTGCGAGGAAGTCTCAGGCGAAACGGGCTGGACCACCTCGAGCGCGGCGTCTCAGAGCTCCGAGTTGCGGGGGCCTCCTGGTGCCTCCTGGGGCCTCCTGGGGACCTCCTGGAGCTTCCTCCTGGGCCTCCTGTGGCCTCGTGAACTCCACCTGGGGTTTCCTGAAGCCTCTTGGGGCTCCCAGGGGGGATATCTAACCTGTGGCCGTTTGGGCCTCTCCAAATGGAGGGGGGGGGGGGGCACAAGAGCAGGAAAAATCAACGAATCGACACCGGATGTGTATTAACTTGACACGTTCTGATAGAGCGGCCTCCTGGGGCCTCCTGGGAGCCTCCTGGGAATCTCCTGGAGACCCCTGGGGCCTGTCCTGGGCGTCCTGCGGCCTCCTGGTGCCTCCTGGGCCTCCTGGGGACCTCCTGGAGCTTCCTCCTGGGCCTCCTGTGGCCTCCTGAACTCCACCTGAGGTTTCCTGAAGCATCTTGGGGCTCCCAGGGGGGATATCTAACCTGTGGCCGCTTGGGCCTCTCCAAATGGAGGGGGGGGCACAAGAGCAGGAAAAATCAACGAATCGACACCGGATGTGTATTAACTTGACACGTTCTGATAGAGGGCCTCCTGGGGCCTCCTGGGAATCTCCTGGGGGCCCCTGGGGCCTGTCCTGAGTGTCCTGCGGCCTCCTGGACCTCTCTGGGGCCTCCTGAGGCTCGCAGGGTCCCATGGAGGATATGTAACATGTGGCCTTCTGGGCCCCCAGGCTGGACCACCTCTTGCGCAGCATCTGAGAGCTCAGAATTGCGAGAATATCTTGTGCGAAACAGGCCGGACCACCTTGCGCACGGCATCTCAGATCTCAGAGTTGCAAGGATTTCTCAGGCGAGACGGGCCGGACCACCTCGCGCAGGGCATCTCAGAGCTCAGAAGTTCGAGGATGTCTCAGGCGAAACGGGCCGGACCACCTCGCGCGCGGCATCGGGGAGATCAGAGTTTCGAGGATGTCTCAGGCGAAACGGGCCGGACCACCTCGCGCGCGGCATCTTGGAGCTCAGAGTTGCGAGGATGTCTCAGGCGAAACGGCCCGGACCACCTCTCGCGCGGCATCTGGGAGCTCAGAGTTTCGAGGATGTCTCAAGCGAAACGGCCCGGACCACCTCTCGCGCGGCCTCTCAGAGCTCAGATTTAGGAGGATGTCTCAGGCGAAACGCTCAATCCCGGACAACTCAGAAACGAGAGTTGTGAGGATGTCTCAGGCGAAACGGGCCGGACCACCACATTTGTTTGAGGATGTCTCTGCTTAGCTTTCCCTCGGCTGGAATTAGCTTCTGTCACAACAGCACCCCGTTCAGCAAGCTGTTTGGGGAAAAAGATGCCTGCGGTAACGCGTGATGATGGAAACGGGTGCGAGCGCTGGGCAGGGCACTTCAAAACACAATGCATACCAGACAGGGGGATCAACAAGAATAGCTTCCAGGTATGAGAGGTCAACAGTAATCGTTTTAAGACCGGTTGGTCTTCATTGCTTGCGTGTCAGCATCATGTATACACCAAAACCTCGACTACTGCCCTCTTCGCTTGTGAACGTACCCCCATAAGGGGGGCGTCTTTTGGCGAACGAACAAAACAAACCCATACCCATAGAAGGGTCGGAAGGAAGACGACTGGCTATGGGTACTTCTGGGCGCGGGTTGTCTGACCCCGGGGGGAGGCCTCCCGTTCGAGCGGGGACCCCCATCCGACCGCACGCACCCATGGCCCCCTCCGTCCCACCAGTGGGTACGGCAGGTTCGTGTCGTGCCGACTTCGGCGTTGGTTCCTGAACCCGCGGGGACCGTTCAACCACGAACGATCGGCCGCTCCCGAGACGTCCAAAATCTTTCCACATCGAACGATTTTGGGTCACCCGCGGCGTTCAGCGTGGAACGCCGCTGGCGGGGTCGCCGCCTGTCGACACGACACAAACCTACCGTATGGGTGCGTGTTGTAGGGGGCCACATGCGAGCCCTACCCCTACACCCCACGACTTCTGAGGGGGAGGCTGGGGCTCCCTTCCCTCGGGGAGCTCCCAGACGCAGTGAACCCCACCCTCCACCTCAGAAGTCGTGGGGCGCAGGGGCAGGGCTCGCATGTGGCCCCATATGAGTTGCTCCCCCGCCATCCTTTTCTCAGACCGCCCCCCGCAGCACCCGAGCCGCTGGCGACAGCCCAGCGCCGGGCCGCCGCGCGGGCAGGCCGGCGAGAAGCGCCGCGCTCGTGAGCGGCCGCGCGCTCCCGCGGCGGCGCTGGCCCGCGTCGGGCGCCGCGGCCCTCTCGACGGCCGGCGGTCCTCTCGCGTGCGGCCAGAGGCGCGCGCCCGTGCTTGGGGGGGGGCCTCATCCTCCTCCATCCTCCTCCTCCTCCTCCTCCTCCTCCTCCTCCTCCTCCTCCTCCTCCCTCCTCCCCCTCCTCCTCCCTCTCTCCTCCTCCTCCTCCTCCTCCTCCGCCTCCTCCTCCTCCTCCTCCTCCTCCTCCTCCCTCCTCCTCCTCCTCCTCCTCCTCCTCTTCCTCCTCCTCCTCCCTCCTCCTGCTGCTCCCTCCTCCTGCTGCTCCTCCTCCTCCTCCTCCTCCTCCTCCTGCTGCTCCACCTCCTCCAGGCAGGGAGGGGGGGGGGCGGCCTTGTGGGAGGCCGCGGGGGCACCGCCTCGAGAGGGCCCCGCGCCGCTTCCAGGAGGCCCCCCTCCGAGGGGGGCTTCTCGGAAGGCCAGGGAGGGACTGCTGGGCGGGGGGGTGGCTCCTCGGAATGCCGCCCACCTCCCCCATTCGGAAGCTAGGCGAGGGCTGGCAAATCCGTGTAGTAAAATGGTCTTCCCCGAGGAAGAAAAAAACACTTCCTGGAATCAAGTTCAGCACACGAAATAATAAACGGGCTGCTTCCCCGAAGAAAAAATCAAGTTCACGGAGCTCTGCTTTAGCAGCCACGGGTTTGCCAGCCTTCGCCTGGCTTCTGACCCATGCCCCCTTTTCAGTGCACCGCCACCACCTTCCCCCCGCTCTCCCGGATTGCCCTTGAGGTGGAAGGCCTGGACGCCTGAAACGGGGCCAGCAAAAACGGGGGGATCCAAGCCGAAAGCGACCGCTGCAAGGCAGCCACTCTCTCGTTCCAGCGGGCGGCGCCCGCGGCGATTCCGTGAACGATGGTGATCACAATGGGCAGAAGCTGGTGTGGGTCGTTCCGCCCCCATGTCGGCCCTCCCGATACTAGAGGCCTCCCAAATGGGGTCGGAGTAGATGGGGTCAGAGGATCGTGCCGCATCAGCGATGCATCGGCGACGTCGGCGAAGCATCGGCGCCATCGACGTGAAGCAAATCGGGCTCCACATCGAGCCGCATCGGCGATGCATCGGCGATGCGGCGCGATCCTCCGACCCCATCTACTCGGATCCCATCTAGGAGGCCTAGAGATACCCACGTATCGGGGTCGGGGTGGTTTGTCCTCACTTGAAGGAAAGAGCTCTCTTCGCCCAAGGGCCTCGGATGCGTCGCGGCGGCGCCCTCGGGTCGAAGCGCCCGGGGACTCGGGAGGTGGTGCCCGCCGGCGCGGCGTAGCGCCAGTAGCTGCCTGGGCGCAGCGCCATGAGCCGAGCAGGGGATCGACTACAGAATTGATGCATCCCAGAATTGATTCTTCTGAGTTATCGTTCATCCGATCCCTATTCCCAGCGGCGTGGCCTGGATTTACCCCCCTAGATGAGGATATAGGCCGTTCCCTTCAGGGTTCGAAGGGTGTATCCCCAACTGGGGGGGTAATTTGGTGGGGGTCTCGAAGGGGATGGGGATGGGGGTCGGTTTAACGATACTGATCTTCAATCGAATCTACGATAGATACAATGATTGTGCCGTAGATCGACGAGCCTTCTGCGTATGCGTCGCAGATCCGACGAGAAAATCCGTGCTGGGGCAAATCAGTTCCGTAGACGATCGCCCACTCGAATGAGGGGATCGCCCTCGCCCGGCATCAGGGCCAGGCCGGCGCGCTCGAAGTTGAGGAGGTTCCTTTCGGACGCGCAAAAAATGGGTGCGGAAAAAAGGGGCTACAATGCCCAGCAGCAAATGTTGTTCAACACCGACAGCGGCTGCTGCTGGGCGGGCGGCTATTTGTCCTCAAAGAACAGCGTCCGCGGCGGCGCGGACAGCGAGTCCTGTTCAAAATGGGCAGGAACTGCTGTTGGGCATCGTACCCCTTCTTTCCGTACACATTTCGATCGTCCCGATTCCTGGGTGCGCCGTCGGCGCCGTCGTTGATGTGGACGTTCACTGTGCGATTGTCGGGGGGGACGAAGAGGCAGCAGGGCAAATGGTAGAAGGGTAGAGAATCAGCTCACGTGCCTGGTTTCCCTGGCGCCTCCCGGCGCCGGGAGGCGCCCGTGTATCGAAGAATGGGCCCGGCGACGGATCCGAAACCAGCTGCATGCAGCAGATTCCGCAACCCACCCTTTCCCTATCCCCCCTTTCGTCCAGCCCGAGATTGACCCCGACGGTCTCGTTGCTCCAGTCCACCTCGACATCAAAATGCCCGGTGCCCTTCGCAAACAGGGACCCGTAAGCCTGGTGCGGCTCCATCGGGAGGAGGCCCTGCGCATGCAGCCACAGCATCTGCTCAGCCAGGGTGCCGCTCACACGCCCTGCCGCGGCATCGCTCGCGCAGCACAGGTCCCGAGCGCTGTTCACGCCGCATTCTGGAGGGAGAAAAAACGGCACAAACATAAACTGTTGGAGAGCCGCGCAGATCTTTTGGATCCGCACCGGGCCCCCTCCCTGGCGCACCAGGGGCGGAGGCGGAGGCGCCGCTGGGGGAGGGGGGGTCCCAGCGTGGATCCGAGAACTCCGCGCGGAGCGCAAAAGTTTGTGCTTCTGCCGTTCTGTCTTCCTCGACATTCGTGGGCCCGCCACAGCAGGAGTGCCAGGGCCTCCTCCTGCGTCTCGAACACGCCCGCTCGGCAGTCGAAGTGCGCGCAGAGGCCTGCCTCGGGCTCCAGCCCCGCCGCTGCAACGATGCGCCAGAGGTCCTGGTTGAAGAGCGCGGTGGCCACGCTCGCGGCGATGCTGACCCACTTCTGCACCCTGCCCTGGTACATGAACTCTGAATGAGCACCTTTCTCCGAGCTCCACGACCTCGGCGACATGAGGAACACGATCTCGTCGCCGTGCGTGTAGCCGACGGTGGCCTTGAACTCGTCCATCACGGCGCGGCAACACGAACGCATGGCCTCTCCGATGGCCGTCGAGTAGCCGGGGCCCACGATGCCCCGCGCCCTCAGCCTGACTACCTACCAGACCACCCCAACCCAACCCGAAGACCTGTGTTCGTTCAATGTTCCCCGACCCCCCCACCCACACACACCCACACACACACACACACACACTGGAAATGGAGGACAGATCGGGGTCTTCGGGTTGGGTTGGGGTGGTTTGGTGGGCGGTGACAGCCTGCCCATTAGGCTACCGAACTTGCAGCCGCCGAGCCGCAGAGAGACCCACTTCGACCCGTCCAGGAGCGGCGGGTGCTCCCTCTCCTTACCAGCTTCGAACTCATCCCTACACCCGAGATTGACGAGCCAGAAGGCGATGACAATCTTAGGGATGTGCCCCCAGAAACTGAAGGAATCCCTTTAAGATCGGCACCGAGGTAAGGTGATGGCACACATATCGGGGTCCACCAAAGGGGGGGAGACCCCGAGGGCGGGGGGGGAGTTCGATCCGCTGGTGCATAGAGCTTCAGAAAAACGATGTCCCCCGCGCGCCCCGATTGTCGACGCCTCTCGGGTTCTGGCGGCGGCCGGAGACCTCGTTTTGCATCGTTGTTTTCTGCGGTTCGATGCACCAACGGACCGAACTCACCCCCCCCATGTGGCCCCCCCCCTTCGCGAGGTCCCAGCTCTTAAGATCGGCACCGAGGTAAGGTGATGACACACCTGCGGATAGGGATATGTTTCTAGAGGAAAAAGAATTATGCACATACACCGATTCTGGCCAGGCCCATCCTGAGCCCAGGATCGGTGCATACGCCCTCCTACCTTGGCCAGGAAGGCATATGCACCGATCCTGGGTCAAGGATGGGCCTTGCCAGGATCGGTGCATGTGCATAGTTCTCCTCGCCCGAGTTTCAAGCCCGTGGTCTCCGAGACCAGCCGCCCCAGCTCGCTCCACGCGCTGGCCGGCACCACGGCCCGAGAGCCGGAGATCAGAGCTGCAGGACCGGAGGCCGTGAGCAGAGAGCCGCGCGGGCGCTCCGCAGAAGCGCCCGGGCAGAGCAGGAGGGAGGAGGAGGAGGACGAGGAGGACGAGGAGGAGGGCGAGGAGGAGGGTGAGGAGGAAGAGGAGGAAGAGGAGGAAGAGGAGGAGGAGGAGGAGGAGGAGGAGGAGGAGGAGGAGGCGGAGGAGAATGATGATGAGAAGGAGGAGGGTCTGCGTTTCGCCCACGAGGGGTGGCGGCGACAGGGGCGGGCCAGGGCGGTAGAGCAGGAGGCAGGGGGCAGGAGGAGGGGCAGGGGGGGGGGGCGGGGGGGGAGGAGGCAGGCATGTAAGACAGGACGAAGCTAAAATCGGGTGGGGACGAAATCGAAAGCACCTCCGAGGTCTGGCGGCTCTGGAGGATGTCTCGGGCGCCGCGGCCTCCTCAGAGCGTTCCGGAGCGCTCTGAGAGCGTTCCCGAACGCACTTGAACGGGTTCATCCTCGTCCTCGCCCCGTCCGAACGAGGTAGGAGGAGGGACGGGGGGCGGGGGACGGGAGGGGGAGGAGACAGATATGAGCGCAAGGAGGAGGACCGAGGGGCCAGTGAGCATCGTATAACCGATCCCCATCCCCACCAGCGTGGGCTGGGCCTCACTGGCCGATTTACCCCCCTGATGGGGATATAGGTTGCTCTCTTCGGGTTTCGAGGGGCATATCCCCAACTGAGGTAGTGAGACGGGGGGGCTCGAGATGTGGACGGGGATGGGGATAGGGATCGGTTAAACGATACTGAGCTGGGGGGCTGGGAGGAGGGCGGAGACGCCTGCCAGCTTTCGGAGCCTCGGGTCTTGCAGCCGGTCCGGCTCCCAAATGGCAGGCAGCTCGTGCGCACCCTCGTCGAGCCCGCCGACGCAGAGGGTCTCGCCGGCGCGGAGCATCCCCAGAACGTCCTGGGGGACTCGGGCGGATCTGGTTGTGAGCGTTTTCGTATTCGGCGTTTCGACATTGGGCGGAAGGGGGAGGGGGAGGGGATGGTCTGGCTCCCGACCTCTGCTTGCGGGCGGCACGTTTTCAAAATGAAGCTCTCGCCTCAACGCCGCGCACATTCGTTTTGAGAATTTGCAAGAGATTCACGGATTGACGGAAGCCCGTTTTCAAAATGTGGCTCTCGCCTTCACGCCGCGCACATTCGCTTTAAGAACTTGCAAGAGATTCACGGACTGAGGCAGGCTCCTCTTCGAAAATGTGGCGCGTCGCGCACATTCGTTCTTTTTAAACTTGCTAGCGTTTCAGGGATTCCCATGATCAGCGTACCAGGCATGGTGTTGCGGAAAGATTCAGGACTTCGAGGGTGCAACAGTTGCGTTGATTCGCGGTGTTGCAGTCCCAGGAATGGCGGTACGGCGCGATTCAGGATCGTCAAGACACAGCAGTCAGGTTGATCCGTGGCTTTGGAATCCCGAGAACAATGTTTTGGCATGCTTCAGGGTCTTCAAACGGTTGTATTCCAACGAGGCAGTTCCCCCCGTGGACATGATCCGTTGTAGGGGCCTTTGAAGAGGGAGCTTGGAGGGAGGGTTCATTCCAACATCATTGATGATGACTCCTCTTGAGTGTACACTGCTGGTTCTCCTCCTCCTCCTCCTTCTCCTCCTCCTCCTCCTCCCTCTCCATTCCTGCTCCGTCTGAATAACTCCCCCCCCCCCCTGTCACACCCCGAGGCATGTCGTCGAAAGGGCGGGCGTGGCGTTTCGCTGGAGACCTTCGTCACCAGCTAAGATCATGAAGCCTGACATGTGCAACCGCTTCATGGATGGAGGGCGGGCGGTTTGCGAACTGTGGCTCTCGCCTGAGTGCCGCGCACACTCGTCTTGTACGGTTGTAAGAGTTCCACAGGTGGACGGCGGGCCGTTCTCAAAATGTGGCTCTCGCCTTAGCGTCGCGCACATTCGTCAAAACAGTGGCAAGAGCTCCACGGATGATGAACGGCTCCTTTCAAAATGTGGCTCTCGCCTTACCGCCGCGCACATTAGATTCAAGAGTTTACAGCGAGTTCAAAGATTCTCATGGCCAACATCCCAAGAATGGCGTTTTGGCACGATCCCCCTCAGCATCCTCATCCTTATCCACATCCTCATCGTCCTCTTCCTCCTCCTCTTCCTCTTCAAATAGTATCAATATTGATATGATTCTTCTTAGCAGTATGATTAGTAATGGTAGTGCTATTATCAATAGTAGTATCGTTGTTATTCTCAGTATTGTTCTATGAGTGATATGTTTCTTATCACTACTATGCTATTTCCTGATTGCTATGATCCCCAACATTATGAACACTACCATTCGTACCATCATCCGCCGACCCCCTCGTGGGGCCATCAGGCTGCGAGACCTAGGTTTGCTGCTCCCTGCGCTCAGGTGCACTGTCAAGTCTCCAAGGTTACGATCCTGTCTGTTGCCCCCGACTGTAACTAGTTGTTGAGGTGCCCGCGCGACGGGGGGAGAGCCGAACAGGGCCCCGCTGCCACCCCCGAAGCGCCTGGTCTGCATTGACTGCGGGGCCGTGGGACACCTATAAAAATACCTGAGCATCGCGCTCCCGACGCAATAATCCCTCGTAGATTGCACTGTGCTCGCGCCCCAGAGGCTACGATCCTCCGCACACTGCATCACATTCGCATCCCCGAAGGCACGATCCCTCGTAAGATACACCAGGTTCGCGCCTCCGAATGTTATACTGCATTCGCGCCTCTGGTGCCACGACCTCTTATAAAGTACGCCACAATTGCGCCCCCGAGGCCACGATCCTTCGTAAATGAAATAATGTTCGCGTCCCCGAGGCAAGCAACCCTTGCAAATTGTGCAAGTGCTGCGTCCCCGGAGCAACAAACCCTCGTAAATTACCAAATGTTCGCGTCCCCGAGGCCATTAACCCTCGCAAAGTATACAATTGTTGCGTCCCCGAGGCAACAAACACTCGCAAATTATACAATATCCGCGCCCCCGAAGCCAGCCCTTGCAAATTATACAATATTCGCATCCCGGAGGCCACAAACTGTCGCAAATTGTTAAATAGTCGCGGCCCCGACGCCAGAATCCTTTGCAAGTTACTCCATATTCGCGTCCCCGAGGCCGCAAACCCTGGCAGATTGCTAAATTCGTGCGTCCCCGAAGCGACAAACCCTCGTAAATGATTCAATGTTCGCGTCCACGTGGCCATGAACCCTCGCAAAGTAGGCCGCCGAGGCCACGAGTGCTCCAAGGCGCCCAGAGATGGTTCCAAGACGGCCCGAGGGGGCCCCTAAGAGGCCCCACGAGCACTCCAAGAAACCTCCCGAGAGAGCCTTAAGAGGCCAACACCGTCGAATTGATATGGTTTTCACAGGAGTGTGGGACTTTCGCATTTTCAGCTTCCCGACGCTCCAAGGTGAGTCAAGAAGCTCCCAAGACCGCCCCAAGACGGCCCGAGAGTGCTCCAAGATGGCCCAAGAAGCGCTCCGATAAGCCCCAAGAAGCCCCCAGGAGGCCCCACGAGGCCCCAAGAGGCGCCCAAGACGCGCCAAAAAGGCCTCCAAGAAGCCAAAAAACTACACCACGAGGCCCCGAGAGGCTCCCAAGAAGCGCCGAAACCGCCTTCAAGAGGCCCCCGAAAAGCTCCCGACGACACCCTAACACATTTACAAGAAGCCTCAGACCCACAACCCAGACACGGTGGCGAGATGGGCCGAAGGCCACTCGGATCCGCCGCCCTCTGTTGATTCATCACAAGGGTGCCTGGCGTGCTGAATCCTTTCGCTTTTGGTTTTGCTCCTTTTTCCAAAAGAACTACCCCTGGGACTTCGGCCCAGCCCGCCAGGGTCCCGGAAGGTTCCCGAAAATCAATATGTCAATGCCTTTCTTGCCCCAATATGGCCTACGATGGCCTCCAAGAAGGCCCAACATGGCCCAGGATGGCCTCCAAGATGATGCCTCAAAGACGGCCAAAATGGCCTCCAAGACGGCTAAGATGGTCCCACGATGCACCCCAGACGGCCCCAGATGCCGTCAAGATGGTCTAAGACGGCCCCAAAGGCCCAGAAGAGGCCTCCAAGACGGCCCAAGAGCGCTCCAAGACGTCCTCCAGGAAGGCCCGAAAAGGGCCAAAGTCATTGATGTTCATTAGGTGTTTGAAGCAGCTCTCCGACGGCCCACGACGGCCCAAGAGGCCCCCAACATCGTCCCAAGAGCGCCCAAGAGGCCGCTAAGATGGCCACATGACAGCCCAAGAGGCCCCCAAGACGGCCCCGAGAAGGCCCCAAGACGGCCCAAGATGGCCCCGAAGACGGCCAACATGGCCTCCAAGACGGCCAAGATAACATCCAAAATGCCTCCAAGACGGCCGAGAAGGCCTCCAAGACAGCGAAAATGGCCCCAAGATGCACCCAAGACGGCTCCATATGGCCTCAAGATGGCCTTAGACTGCCCAAAAGGCCCGCGAGAGGCCTCCAAGACGGCCAAGGAGTCCTCCAAGACGTCCTCCAGGAAGGCCCGAAAAGGGCCAAAATCATTGATTTTCTCCACGTTGTTGTTGAAAGGATTTTGGCATTTGCTTCTTTTCAGCTCTGACGGCCCAAGACGGCCCAAGCGGCCCCCAAGATAGCTCCAAGATCGCCCAAGAGCGCTCCAAGATGGCCCCATGACAGCCCAAGAGGCCCCCAAGACGGCCCCAAGAAGTCCCCAAGATGACCGAAGAGGCCTCCAAGACGCCTAGATTGCCTCGAAGACGGCTCTGAAACGTCCCATGGGGGCCCGAAGGCGGCTCCGAGGGGCCTCATAGACGGCTTCCAACGGGGTCAGATGGCGTTCCAAACCGAGTCGGGGAACACTCGTTCCGAAAGATTGGTAAGGATCTGACCCAACCTTCGGCCAGCAGGCCCCCAGACGCCTCCAAAAGCTCACAAGAGCCCCCAAGGAGCCCCGAACACGCCCATGCCTCACTCTCCTCCTCTTCCCCGTCCTCCCCCACGTGTTCCCCGAAAGCTTTCCAAACCGATTCGGGGAACACATGGTCCGATAGCTTGGCAGGGCTCTGGCCTCAATGTTGGGCCACATAGGCGCTTCCGAAAAGGCAGGGGGCGGCGGTGACTCGCCGTAGGCGTCTTCTACAACGGCAACGTCTCAATGTGCGCTGATGATTCCTATCCGCCCCCGAGTGATGTTCCCAGATGCGCCATGGCGAAGCGCACCAACGCGACTCTGATAGATCCCATCATGATAGAGAGGGGGTCGGCGGCAGGGGGCGAAGCCCTTACGGATTATCATAATATCACATTACTAACAGAATTTCCATTAGTACCAGTAGTACTAGCATTATGAAAAATGTGATTAATAGGATGAGTGATAGTACTAGTATAATCACTGTATTGCGATTCTTCTTGTTAATATCATCATTACTTCCTCCTCCTCCTCCTCCTCCTCCTCCTCCTCCTCGTCCTCGTCCTCTTCCTCTTCTTCCTCCCCCTTCTCCTCGCCGTCCACACCCGCGGCCTCACAAGCATGGCCCCTGGGCCGCGACCCCGCGGCGCGCCTCGTCGCGGATGCCCCCGCGAGGGACGCATCTGCGAGCCCGCACCGCGAGGGCGCGGCTCCATGGACACCTCCCTCGCCGCTCGCGGGCCCCGCGCCCCCCGGCGGTCCCTGCAGGCCAGCGAGAGGTCGGAGCCGCCCGGCCCGTCGCGGCGCAGGAGCAGCCATCGGCGGAGCTGCTGGTGCGCCAGGGCCCCGGGAGCCGACCGGGCCGGCGCCCCTCCGCCCGGCAGCGCCGCGAGGCCGGGCGCCGCGCCGGCGCAGAGCGCCGCGGCCGCCCCGAGCGCGGACGGGCGCGGCGGAGGGCTGCCGCGCCGTGCATCGGCGACGCGCAGGGAGTGGCCCTATAGGCTTGCTCTGTTCCCGTCGCGCTTATAAGGACCGCACTCCAGAGAGAATGTCGAGCGCCCAGCAGAGTATGGAAGTTCTTCCTGGTGGCCTGGGCCAAAGCAGGCTGGAACATCCGAACCCTAGGCAAGAGGGACCTCGGGTGCACGGCAGCCGCGGGGGGCGCGGGGGGCCAAGCCCGAGCGTCACGTTCGGTGGTCGGGGGACCCCAAGGGGCCCGCACCAAAGGTCCCTCCGGCGAGGGGTCACTCTTCCGTGAACAGTGGAGGCCTTTCCACAAGAAAACTTCCACGAGAAACCCAAGCCTGAGACCCCAGGACGTCCATCGATTTTTGGCGTGGGAACGTGTCACGCCTTCTACAGCAAAACCATCGAAACCCAAGAAACCCAGGGCACCCTGGAGGCAAGCATGGTGTTTCTTGACATGGGCCCCCCGTGTACAGTCGGGGCGCTGACCTACGGAACCCTAAATAAGGAACGAGGCCCCTCTTTCACTCAAGGAACGCGGAGCCCCTCCCCAACGAAAAGGGTTCCTTCTTCAGGGCCCCGACTGTAGTCGGGTGCACCTGGGCGGTGCGTCGAGAGCCGAAAGTTTCGCGCCACCAGCTTTGGGTCCTGCGGCAGCCAACCAGAGTTGCCGTTGCGGGGTGCCTGCCTGCAATCCCGTTCCACGTCAATCTCGGGCCCCGCAAGGATGCGCCCGCGGTCGGACCAGCTCGAGTTCCAACACTCCTGGAAATCTGCAGGTAGTGGCGTCTCAAAAGCGTGCGACAGAAAAACTGTTTGATTCGCGGGTCGAGAGCGAACCTCTTCCGGTCGAAGCTAAGCGGGCCGCGCGAAGCTTGAATTAACAAAGATAGGGAGGAGGGGGGGAGAGCACAGCCCCAGGTGCGAAAGAAAAAGTCAAAGAGCGTGAGGGGGGCCCAGGGCTGGTTCTCTGCTGCTTCCCTCTTCGCACCCTCACGGGTGACCAGGTCTGCCCGCCAGCTTGGCACGAGGGGAAGGGGCCCGGGTGGAAACGGGTCCTGCACCCCAGGGCTTCACAGGACTGCTTCTTCACCACAGGCTGTTTCTGACGGTCCTGGGGCACAGGGAGGGGGGCCCGAAGGCGCCGAAACTTGAGACATCCACGAACCCGGTGAGGAGCTGGAGCCAAACCTTCTGCTGACGCGCGCGCGACACTTTCCGTTTACTTGTCTGCAGCCGCCACCGCCTGAAAGCCCTGCTGATCCTCCTCCTCCTCCTCCTCCTCCTCCTCCCGATCCTCCTGCTCCTCTTGCTCCTCCTGTTGGACCCCCCACCCCGCTCCCCTCCGCGCACGTCACTTCACACATAGAGAGAGCTCGCCCCCCTCAAAACTTGGGTCCCCCTTGGGGGCCCCGTGGGCGCGTGAGAACACGTGCCCCGCGCGCACGCGCCGGGGGCATGTCGGGACCTCCCCCCCCCTCCGCGCACCTATGTTGTTAACATGCGAAGGGCTCACCGCCTGCAGGTTGGGTCCCTCGCTCGCGGCCCCCGTCGTGGCCCGAAACACGTGAAAACGTGTGCGGGGACTCATGCCCCCCCTCTCCGCACATACATACATAGAGAGAGAGAGAGATAGTGACGTGCCCAATTCCGACGCCTACTGCTAGACACTCTTCTGGTACAAGGTCTTTTGGCCCGCTGACAGAGAAGAGAACCCTGGGCTGGAGCCCGTACCGTCAGGTTGGGCACATGGTCCCCAGACTATGTCTGTCACTGTTCTTGAATATTCCTCCTGTAGAGGGACACGCCCGCCTTCACCTCACTGGAAAAACACTCCACGACCCCTTTCCTCCAGGATCCGTTTTCTTCATGCTGACTGGCCTGCGCACAAGTCTTGGGCGCCCAGTCAGGACGACGGCAACTGCAACACCGACGCCGATGCTGGCTGGACAAACCCTGGAATCGGCGTCGGTGTGAGAGGCCTCCCAGATGGGAGCCGAGAGGATGGGGTCGAAGGATCGCGCCGCATCGGCGACTTCGGCGATGCATCGGCGACCCTAGAATGGAGCAAGTTGGGCTCCACATCGGGCCGCATCGCCGATGCATCGGCGATGCGGCGCGATCCTCCGATCCCCCTCTACTTCGACCCCACCTGGGAGGCCTCGAGGTGTGGACTGCCTTCCAGACCACACCAACCCAACCCGAAGACCCGAATTTCTGGTTTGGGGGGGGGGTGCGGGCTTCATACGTGTTTTTGTCCATGTTCCCACACACACACACCCCAGAGGGAATGGAGGGCAAATCGGGGCCTTCGGGTTGGGCTGGGGTGGTTTGGTGGGTGGGGACTACTCTTAGGTCGGGCATGTCCTCATACAGGCGGATTTGGAAAGAAAAACGAACCAGAATCAAACGAGTACAAACAGAAGTCCAACATACTCGACGAATGGCCGATGTTTTTAACCACTCTTGAATCATATCCCTCGTGTAGACATGCTCGACTTCGGCGGTGGGCAAACCTCCCTTTAGTAAACCTCCCGTTAGTGAAAACGGCCTGGGACCGAAACCAACGGACCTGGACCCGCAAAACTGACGGCCGCGACGCCCTCTCGCGAGCCAAACACGGCCAGTTCACTAATCGACGTGTCGGGGCAGGAGGCCTGTCCACCTCCGGCGACTTAAAGGTCACGTCGACCCCATCTGGGAGGCCTCGAGGTGCGCCACCGTCAGGTCGGGCGAAAGGGGGGGACAGCAAAGGGGGGGGTTGAGAATCAGCTCACGTGGCTGATTTTCCCAGCGCCTCCTGGCGCCGGAGGCGGCCATGTATCGAGGAATGAGCCCCTCGGTGAGGCCGAAACCGGCTGCATGCAGCAAATTTCGTACCCCCCCCTTTCCCAATCCCCCCCTTTCGCCCGGCCCGCCACCGTCGTGGCCCCGACCTCTGCGCCCCGGCAGGGCGCGTGCGACCCCTCCAGTGCCACGGCCGGCGGCCCCCCGGCGCGGGCCTGCGGCGAGGGAGCGCCGACCGCCGCGCCGCGGGCCGCGCGGGCCGCGCCACGCCGAGGCCTGCAGGCCGCGGCATGCGCCGCCCCACGCGCGCGCCCCGCACATGCAGGGCATGGGTTTTGACTACCTTCGGGTCGGGCGAAAGGGGGGAATAGCAAGGGGGGGGGTTGAGAATCAGCTCACGTAGCTGATTCTTCCAGCGCCTCCCGGCGCCGGGAGGCGCCCATGTATCGAGGAATGGGCCCCTCGGTGGGGCCAAAACCAGCTGCCTGCAGCAGATTTCGTAACCCCCCCTTTCCCATAATCCCCCCTTTCGCCCGGCCCGATACCTACCAAACCACCCCCACCCAACCCGAAGACCCGAATTTCAGGTGGGGGGGGTACGGGCTTCAGATGTGTGTTTGTTCCATGTTCCCCGACCCGCCCCCCCCAACTGGAAGTGGAGGGCAAATCGGGGCCTTCGGGTTGGGCTGGGGTGGTTTGGTCGGCGGTGAAGCTTGCACCGACCCCCGTCCCTCGAGCCCCGAGGAATGGGAGGGGGGGAGGCCTCGGAGCGCGGCGGGGGGCGGCTGCTTCCCCCACCCCCGCAGCCGTCGCCGAAGCGAGCTCCGGTCGCCCGGCTCCCACAGCGGCCTCCGGCGGCACACGCTCCGGAGGACAGAAGCAGAACAAAAACAGGCTCGGTGCATTTGCGGCGAGCGATGGGGGGAAGTGAGCAGGGGCGGGCCTTCTCAGAAGGCTTGGGAGTCCCCCGGTCTGCTGAGGAGTTTTTTGGGCCTTCCTGGGAAGACACCAGAAACCTTTCAGAAGGCGCGAGGGCTTCTGAACAGCCCCGCCGCCCTCTGAGAAGGCCTTCTCCTTCCCCCTTCCCCCCCCCCGCTCGCTGCCGAACAGGGGAGCCCCGTGGGGTGATGCCGGAGATACCTGCTGGCCCGAGGCGCACGAGCGGCGAACCTGCCCAGAAATCTGCGCCTCCGCGATCTGCAATCGGGGGCGCGACCCCGCCGATACGCAGTCGCACGGCCACGTCCCGCGCGGGGCGTCCACGGAAAAGCGCCCCGCGGGGTCGGGGCCCAGGGCCCCGACTTGTGAAGCCGCGGATATGGATGGCGAGGAGAAGGGGGAGGAGGAAACGGACAAGAATGAGGAGGAGGAGGAGGAGGAGGAGGAGAAGGAGGAGTAGGAGGAGGAGGAGGACGAGGAGGACGACGAGGAGGAGGACAAGTGGAAACCCAAGAGTCATCAACGATGATGGAATCAAGCCTCCCTCCAAGCTCCCTCAACAGAGGCCCCTACAACGGTCCATTTCCATTGAGGGAACTGCCTCGTTGGAAGACAACAGTTTGAAGATCCTGAAGCGTGCCAAAACATTGTTCTAGGGAGTTCAACGCCACGTATCAACCTGTTGACGATCCAGAGTCGTGCCAGGACGCCATTTGGGGGATCTTAACACAGCGAATCAACAGACCTGTTGCGCCCGCATAGTCCTGAATCCTTCCAAAACGCTATGTCTGGTACGCTGCTCATGGGAAGCCTTGAAACCCTTGCAAGTGTTTAAAACGAATGTGCGCGGCGCTAAAGCGAGAGCCACATGTTGAAAATGAACCGCCCTCAATCCGTGAAACTCTTGCACAATGTTTAAACGAACGTGCGCGGCGCTAAGGCGAGAGTCACATTTTGAAAACCACCCACCCTCAATCCGTGAAACTCCTGCAAGTTTTAAAACGATTGTGCGCGGCGCTAAGGCGAGAGCCACATTCTGAAAACCATCCGCCCTCAATCCGTGAAACTGTTGCAAATGGTTAAAGCGAATATGCGCGGCGCTGAGGCTCTTGCAAATGTTTAAAACGAATGTGCGCGGCGCTAAGGCGAGAGCCACATTTTGAAAACGACCCGCCCTCAATCCGTGAGACTCTTGCATTTGTTGAACGAATGTGCGCGGTGCTAAGGCGAGAGCCACATTTTGAAACCCCCCCGCCCTCAATCCGTGAAAGTGTTCTCACTTCTTGAGCTTCAGAATCATAATTGGTGAGGAAGTCTCAGTCGAAACGCCCGGCCCGCCCTAAAAACGGGCCTCTGGGTGCGACAGGGAGGAATTATCTACAAGGAGAAGGAATGGAGGACGTGGAGGAGGAGGAGGAGGAGGAGGACAGGAGGAGGAGGAGGAGGAGGAGGAGGAGGAGGAGGAGGAGGAGGAGGAGGAGTAGGAGGAGGGAGGAGGGGGAGGAAGGAGCAGGAGGAGGAGGAGGAGGAGGAGGAGGAGGAGGAGGAGGAGGAGGAGGAGGAGGGAGGAGGAGGAAGAGGAGCCCCGTGTCCGCCAGGGTTCGCGGCCCAGGTGCCCGGCCTGCGAGGCCGAGCCGAAGATCTCCGTGGGAGGCTCCCGTGGCCTCCAGCAGGAACACCCGTCACGAGGCGCCCCCAGGGGGCGCCGAGATGGCACGGGGAGCTGGGGGCCCAGATCCGGCGTCGTGATTTGTTCTCAGCGTCGACCCCGAGAGGTCTGGACCACTTCCAGACCACCCCAACCTAACCCAAATACTCGAATTTCAGGTTGGGGGGTGGGGGCGGGTTTCATATGGGTTTTTTGATCATGTTCCCCGACACCCCCCCCAGTGGGAATGGAGAGCAAATCGGGGCCTTCGGATTGGGTTGGAGTGATTTCCCAGACCCCCGACGTTTTGACTTTTTCGCAACGTCGACCCCCAGAGAACTGGACCCCTTCCCTGGGACCGGCTCTTCCTCCTGAGTCGCCTCTTGAGAGTCCCGAGGCCTGGGAGAGGGCCCACGGAGGCCGACCATAGCGAGAAACATCGCTTCGTGATTTTTTCACAGCGCGAGGGGGTTTGGGGGAAGCTGGGGGGCGCCTTGAGCCAGGGCCCCATCTGGCACGACCCGAACCCTGGGCCTCTCCAGCGAGATGGTTGGAGCCGAAAGGGTTCCCCCCAGCCCCTCGCGGCCTCAAGGGGCCACCTCCGGGCCCAGGGACAGGTCACAGAACCACTCGGGACAAGAAAAGCGGGTCCTGGGGATCTCCTCCTCCTCCTCCTCCTCCTCCTCCTCCTCCTCCTCCTCGTCTCCTCCTCATCATCATCATCATCAACATCATCATCATCATCATCATCATCATCAGCATCATCATCATCATCATCATCAGCAGCAGCAGCAGCATCATCATCATCATCATCAGCAGCAGCATCATCATCATCATCATCATCATCATCATCATCATCATCCCCTGGTCCTCCTCCTCGTCCTCCTCCTCCTCCTCCTCCTCCTCCTAAGGGGCTGGCCACTCGAAAACATCGGCTCGTCGGCGCATGGCCATGCAACGCCCGCGCGGGGTGCAACTCTCATAACTCTGAATATGGTACGCCTCATGATCAGAAATAGTGAGGAAATCTCAGACCACACACCCCGCCCGCGCTACCGGCACGTCTGGGGGTGTGACGGGGAGGATATATCCATAAGGAACAGGGATTGAGGAGGAAGAGAAGGGGAAGAGGAAGGGTGGGGATGAGGAAACGATGGAGCTGGAGGAAACGGAGTTGTCCTTGCTGTTGTTCATGGCCACCCGGTCACCGCTTCCATTGCCGTCGCAATTGTCGGCTATCGTCCTCCCCTTGTCATCAGCATAGTCGCTTTAGTTCTTATCGCTGCGACCACCACGGCCCCCGTATTTATTTGCGGCCGTGCTGACCCCTGCCCACAGTGTCCTCTCGCTCCCAGACCTCCGACGAGTCGAATGCCAGCGCGCACCAACACTGCTTAAAAATTGTAATGGTTGCACGGATGGAGCGGGGTCGTTTCACAAAAGCATTGCAACAATTACAAGGATGGAGGGCGGTTCCTTTCAACATGAACCTGGCGCGACCTCCATTCGCCGGTCTTCTTCTGTCAAACCAATTGAAAAGCAGTTCTGAGCAAAGCATGGCGTGGCACTGCTTGAAATTGGTTGGCATCGTTTAACAGTTCTTGACGTTGCTTGGCATTGCCTATTGACGAAATCGTTGTCTGACATTCATTAGAATTGGTTGCCAGTGCCTGCAATCGTCGTCATTGCTTGGCCTTGCCTGGCATTGGCGCTGCATTGCTTGGCAACGCTTGTGGTTGCTTGGCGTTGCTTGCAGTCGTCGCTTGGCAGTTCTTGGCGTTGGTTGGAACGGTCGGCATTGGCTGAACATTACTGGGCGTTGCTCGGCAGCGTAGACTGGCGTTGCTTGGCATTAGCTATGCGCTGCTTGGCGTTTGCTTGGTATTGCTTGGCAGTGCTTGACATTGCTCGGCATCGCTTGGCATTGCTCGGCATCGCTTGGCATTGCTTGGCGCGGCTTGGCATTGCCTGGTACTGCGCCGAGGAAGCCCGAGCAACGGCGGGGGCCGCCTCCGACGAAGAAACCCCGAGGAACCCCGAGCAACGCCGAGGACCCCCAAGCAACGCCAGGGCCCGCGTCCAACGAAGTGCCCCGCACCGGCGAGTTTCTGCCATAAGCGATGAAGACCCCCGTAGGCAACGCCGCGCACTCGTCCAGGCGCCGGGCACAATTCGTCCCCCGGATGTGCAGCAGCTACACCGATGGAAGTCGTTCTCTTCAACATGGCCTATCGCTTGAGACTTCCTGAAGTTTTCACTGGAGGGATCGGAACTAGGGGAGAGGGACGGGGAAGGGGACGGGGACAAGGACGGGGGGGGCCCCTTCTCTCGGCAGCACAGGCGCTCCCCAGGACACCCACCTGGCGAAGAGAGCGGCGCAAGAGCTTCCTTACAGTAGAAGCTCTTCTTTTCACCTAGCAATGACGGTAGCTCGTCGATCTAGCGAAAGAGATGTATGCACGATCGTTAGCTGGTGCCGAACTGGGCCTCAATCAGAGCTTGCCTCTGTAGGGGTCCTAACGGACTCAGATGGTTAGGTTAGCTGCGTCGCCGATTTCGGCGGCCCGCCCGGGTGCCCGGGTGCCCGGGTGCCCGGGATCTGCGTCACCGATTTCGGCGACCCGCCCGGGTGCCCAGGTGCCCCCCCCCAGCCCTATAGCCCTATAACCCTATAACCCTGTAGCCCCATAGCCCCATAGTCCCATAGCCCTGTAGACCTACAGCCCTACAGCCCTATAGCCCTATAGCCCTATAGCCTAATAGCCATATAGCCCTACAGCACTATAGCCCTATAACCCTATAGCCCTACAGCCCTACAGCCCCATAGCCCCATAGCCCTCTAGCCCTATAGCCCGGTAGCCCCATAGCCCCATAGCCCCATAGCCCTATAGCCCTACAGCCCTACAGCCCTATAGCCCTATAGCCCTGTAGACCTATAGCTCTATAGGCACATAACATTATAGCCCCCATAACCCTATAGCCCTATGGCCCTATGGCCCTATAGCCCTTTAGCCCCATAGCCCTACAGCCCTACAGCCCTACAGCCCTATAGCCCTATAGCCCTATATCCCTTTAGCCCTAAAGCCCAATAGCCCTATAACCCTATAACCCTATAGCCCTGTAGCCCTATAGACCTATAGCCCTATATCCCTATAGCTCTATAGCCCTACAGCCCTATAGCCCCATAGCCCTACAGCCCCATAGACCTGTAGCCCTATAGCCCTAGAGCCCTGTAGTCACATAGCCCCAAAGCCCCATAGCCCTATAGCCCTCCTATAGCCCTATAGCCATACAGCCCTACAGCCCTACAGCCTTATAGCCCTATAGCTCTATAGCCCTATAGCCCTACAGCCCAATAGCCCTATAGCCCTATGGCCCTATAGCCCAATAGCCCAATAGCCCTATAGCCCTAAAGACCTACTGCCCTGTAGCCCTATAGCCCTACAGCCCTACAGCCCTATAGCCCTATGGCCAACATCCCTATAGCCCTATAGCCCTATAGCCCTGTAGCCCTATAGCCCAATAACCCTACAGCCCTATAGCCCTATAGTCATATAGCCCCATAACCCCATAGTCCCATGGCCCTGTAGCCCTATACCCCCATAGCCCTATAGACCTAGCCATATAGCCCTATAGCCCTTTAGCCCCATAGCCCTATAGCCCTGCAGCCCCGCAGTTTTACAGCCTCAATAATTAGGCCTGGTGGACCTAAAAGACCTCATAGACCTTCGGAAGTACTATGTTGGTGTCCTCACCTCCGTCGCCGTCGTCGTCCAAGGAAAAACATGTCCTGGAAAACAGCAAAGACTCTGATTGGAGTTGACGCACAACAGGCCCTTGGGACTGAAAGCGTGTGATGCCCAACCTGCGAATCCGATGAAGCGAATGTGAGCGGCTGAGCTGACATATGCTGCCGATGCGTCGGGAAGGGAGAGACAATGAGGGGCATAAAGAGGGAACGCGGGAGAAAGTCGGGAAAGGAAGAGGGAATAAGGGGCATGAAGGTCGAACGCCAGAAAAGATGCTCACACTGGACCAGGACTCTGCGGCTGTCATGGCGCATACTGCTTCCGCCAGACAGACCCAAACAAGAATCCACAGGAGATCGCACAAGCACGGTGATGCTTCAATGGCCGCGCGGCGGATCCCTGCCTTGCGGCAAGCAGTAGCAACTCCCACCATGCTCCTGCCGTGCAAGGCGGGGATGTATCCATTTCCACCGCCTGGGAACCGACGTCCTGGTGTCCCGGCGGGCAGTGGACATGGGTATGTTTGGGCCCCCGGGGGGCCCAGATATATCCATATATCCACTGCCTGTGGAGGTCCGCGAGGATCGACCCCCCAGGCGGTGGTCGTGGACAAATTACCGCCTCGGATGCTGCGCCGTCCCACTGCGCCCGCCACTAGAGGCCTCCCAGATGGGGTCCGAGTAGATGGGCTCGAAGGATCGCGCCGCATCGCCGATGCATCGCCGATGTATCGGCGATGCATCGGCGATGCACTGGCGACGTCGGCGATGCATCGGCGACGTGGGCCCGGAGAAGCACGGGCTCCACACAGAGCCGCATCGCCGATGCCTCGGCGATGCGGCGCGATCCTCCGACCCCATCTACTCGGACCCCATCTAGGAGGCCTAGAGTTGGGTCGGGCATGTCCCCCTACAGGCGGATTCTAAAGGAACAGTGGAAAACAGTCAAAACAT